CGTGCGCATCAAGTGCCGATGCGCACCTTTTGCCTTTTCGCTCCTTACTAGACTCGGCGGACTCCAAAGCCACTTCCGTATCACACGGGGTATGCACGACGCCCAACTGGACGCACACGAGTTGTCCGCAAGCCCGCAGGCTACTGCCGGCCGTGCTGCGCTCGCTGTGTGCGGGCAGGCACTACGGTGGGCACCCCGCCGGCCGTCCGGCAACTTTTTCCGGCAACGACTTCATGAATGAACATAACATGACATATAATGACTAAAAATGTATGAAATGCTCGGGAGTTCTCGACTCAAACATGAAATAGCTCGGGAGGGCCTTTGTGGCACCTCCGAGTGCAACATGACATGTCTAATGAATTTAACCACATATTTTCTACATGATCTTTTTAATATGATCATAAAATAACTAAAAAAAAGGTCAATATAAGTATACTCCTTCGATCGCTCGTGAAATGGTGCTAAGTCTCGTGCTCTCGCTCGCGGCCACAAGGTAGTGCGTGTGCCTTCCTTCAACAATGGCTAGTGCAAGCTAAATTTCTCCACTTATTATTCTAAGATCTCGGTTATTACTCTCTTAACTCTCGGATATTTGCTCGATTTTCGCATGGTAAATACTCACGGAAAAATTACTATTTAAAAGGGTGAAAGATGATGAAGATAAAATTATGGTTAATTGAGGAGGCGCCACTTGCCATGAACTTAGGCCTTGGGGGTAATTTGCACACCTAGTCACCATGCTAAGGTGGCGCTCCAAGGCTTAGTCACCACTCCCATGTATTACTTTGATGCCACATAATTTTAAGCTAGTAGGTGAGTCATATGTGCAAGTTGCACAATATTTTACCTTAAGTTAGTATTCACACGGCAATGGCTAATGTACTAAGCATGGCTTAATTAAATTTGCTATTAGTACTTACCTAAGAATAGGCTAATGATGGACGGTGGCTAGCGCACACACGCACGGTAGTGCGCGTTGCTCTCGGCAACGCTATGACCAACGCACGCGCAACATAGGCGGCCGTGCATAATGCGCGCGCATGCACACTATTCTAGACCAAATGCTAGTAATACTTGTAACATGATACTTACTTAGAACATTTCATGCTTAACATGAACTTGATTAAAGTTAGAATTATCATGACCGAATTTACTCGATTTCGGTCGGAACTTGACTTCGAAAATTAATTCGAATATCCTCGATTTCAAATAATTAATCCCGACTAATAATATCCGTTTATAAAATAAACATTTCAGAACTAATTAACGGAACTAACTCGGTTATTAAAAATAAATAAACCGAATAGACTTTCGACTTAAAGTCGAATTTATTAGCTCGAAAGTTAAAATGAGCAACATTAGCAAAAGGAAATCGATTCAACTTCGGAACTAAGTACATCGCTTTAGTAATAACAAACTGGGCTATTACACAGAAGCTCAAAGAAACTATCTGTAGTGGGTAGGGGTATATGTGTATATCTGGAATAGTGCTCCCACACTCTCCTCACAGCCTCATGTTAGAGTAGTATACCCAGCGTTCCAATCTGATTGGACGTATTCTACTTGTA